TTGTGTGATAATTATATATTATTTTGTTATGAGTGCTGGATAGGTTAGTGCAGTTGTACTTGCGTGTCCCCTGTTATCTACTGTCCAATAATCTGCGGTTTTTGGGAATCTTTCTTCTGGCAGCATTACTCGGCAAGTAGGACGGTTCGTTATCCGGTCCAAATCTTTTCGTTTCCACACCTTTCTGCCTCATTGGCTCTTCAGCTATCTTTTCAGGAAAGAAGCTACTAATTTTCATCTTCATCGATTATTTTCTGGTGATGAGACTTCACCCATTCATTCCTGTTTCAGTGATTCTAGCTTCTGAAGTTTAGTGAACACCATTCACGATGAATAACACAACACAAAGGATTATTGAAACTCGTGGTTTTTGTACAAGGGACCTGAGCATCACTGATGAAGATATGGTGCGTCCGAAATTCTGCGTTAGCTCGTTTTAGCTTTTGTAACAAGTTAAACTTTATTCACTGTTCTTACCAAATTATTCGTCAGAACCCTTTCGGTGAACGGTCTTAATTCCGAGGACTTGGGATCCTCGATTGCTGTGTCATGACCTACTGCAGATTTTTTGGTGTTCACACCCGACTATCCAACAACTGTGTAGAGCAAGATCACACCAGCGAGACACTCACGTGACCTCATTGTTTTATCGTAACAGTATGGACTATTGATTAGTGAATGGCGCGTGGACGTACGCAGCTGGCCGCATCAGTGAGTTAATCTGTGTTAGGGTTCTACCCATAGTGGACAACGTGCCGCTAGTAAGCGGGGGCTACTGAAAAATTTCTCCCGAATACAGATGGTCTCAAGTGACTACGTAACAGATGTAGAGGCTAGTTTATTCGGGTTTCCCCTAATACACTTCGCGGACACATCCTCAAGGTTCATGTGTCCATATAACCCCTGGTAATCGATATTCCTCATTTTGTTTTCCGGGAGAGGATGGAGAGCAGCATCGTAGCCACTGACTTCAAGTAAGAACTGTTCGAGGTTGTATTGTAGCTACCTAGTCACCCACACACTTGACTTTTCAGCGCAGTCGCTCACTGGATCACAAGACTTGTCTTTTTTCATATTCGCAAGCCACGTCAGATCAAGGTGACTCATCGGACATCGATTGTCTGTACCGTCTAGTGAGCGTAGCAACAACAAGTCATGTGCTGTCACACCCACGTACACGCAAACGGACCTACATATAGGGAAACCGAACACAGTCAGCACGCACAGACTCGCGCGCGCTCAGGGAGCAAGGAGTCAGCCAAACACTCCAAGTCCACGAACAATTATGGAATACGTGTAGCAGTCGCACTGCGGAGCAAATCACGTTCCCGCCGTCCGGACTTTCACCAAGGGACTCTCACATACGACAAGTCCCCTTTTTTGACTCGCTCCCATTTTCGCACTGTATTTATGTTTATACGTGTCGCAACCATACTAAAAACTTCTATTAGTGCACATACACCTTCTGATTTCTATTATGGCTATCACCACCCGTGCACTAATAGTATAACCTCACATTGATTGACTGGCGGAACTGTTTACACATAGATAACAAATAGATTTCGAAAAGATCCACCATCTACACATTGTTTGCTGAGCATCCTGTTCTCCTGAGGAGAGGACAGACATAGATAATTCATGCATGCATGCACATGTTCGATACGAAATACCGCACTCATAATCGTTAATATACGCCCGCAACATCCGCACGCCGTGGATGTCCGTTGCCTGTTGCTACGGTGAAAATCACGTGTTGTGTCCTCTCAAAAAGTTAACCGTTCATAGTCAACGCCCATGGTAGTTGAATCTTGGTGACGGGACGGCATAAAGTGACCAGTATTGTTTCCCACCAAGCTTAATCGATTCTATTCATCTGCCATTCATGGTTGTCCGGTCCCTTCATGAAGATTGGTCTTCCAACAGGCACAGATTGGTAGAATATGCGGGTCATTATCGGATCGAAACACTATAAATACAGTCTGGATGTTTTCTGTCTTCAATGAACAATTAAAGCAGGCAAAGCAATATGCGGAGTGGTTGCCATTTGGGAACATAACTACTTCTCAGCACAATTGAAACACTGTTCAGTTATTCACGAGATGGGAGGAAATATCTAATAGAGCCCATCACAACTAAATGATTACACCGTACCATCCACTTTTTAAGCTTTGCTGTTGGAGAATTATTGATCAAAAGACCTAGTTGCTTATAGCATGGCTCAATACGAAGGGCTTTGATGTGCCACTTCATTTCGTCAAAATGCCATGCGTTTGAGTGTAGCTATCATGTGGCGTCTGATCAGGTAGGTTACTGAGCCACCATTCGCTAGAAGCGATTTCAGCTGTACTGCCGTTAGGAGATAAGAGAGGCCAAAAGGGTCCAGGGGTCACATCCCCATCATCATTGACATCAACACCGGATGCAAGCACTACTGCTTCGCTGCGTGAAAACCATATTGACTTTCTTTGAATAAAGACTTATTGGAAAGATGAAACCAAAGACTAGTCTACCACAAACGTCCAAGGTGCCTACAAATCCAGCATTCAGTTAGGCAATCTGGATAGAAACTGACAGCATGCAGCCACTGACATAGCTCACCGGGCAACCAGAGACAAGGGTGGTCAAATGAACCTCAGTCTGGAAGGTGAATAGCGCCAGCATCCCCCAGATTTTTACAACGCCCTCCTCTGTCTAATCAAACTGTGTCAACCTCCACCACTGAGAATTAGGCGGGGAAAACAGTAGCCGTTTCGTCAGGTGATAACTCGGATTGCGCAAAATATGGCACAGCCAACTTTGCTTGCAATGTTGGATGCATTCTTTGAGTGAAGTACCATTTGTTTGCTGATCATCTCATCGCGAATTCACTGATCCCCGCCGATTCCAGCTACAGATCTGGGAGACCGGAGATCAAAGACCTTCATCCGAAATTGCCAAGTCTCACAGCTGTACGACAACCCAGCTGCACTGTAGTTTGACCAAGAGAAACACCTTTTTGACGACACAGGTGGCGCGAATTCTGACCCTGTCTGTCATATTACTTTCAGAGCTAATTCACCTTCCAGGATACTTCCAATGTTACCACTTGGTGCCAAAGACTGTACGTTACCCAGCACGACTTTTCTCTTCATGGGCGCGAATAACATGTCGAAGGACCGAACGACCTTGAGCAGCTTTTCTACCAAGGTTCGAGCTTCCTGCTCTTATCAAAAATTAGAACAATGCCGTCTGTATATTCCAGTTAGACAGGTGACCAGGAGCATAACCTTGTACTATGTGAGAGCAAAGCACATGCCAGTCATCATCATTGGCAGAATAAAGTCAGTATTCAACACTCATGGTTCGCTGCCGCTAGATCATAATTGATTTGAAAGCCTTATTGTGAAGAAAAAAGTAAACGTGGATATGCTGGGAGAATTAATGCTAGCCGAACACAACTCTTCCGAGTGGTCTACTTATCCAGACACTCATTTAGACGATCTGGTTAGAAACTGACAACAGGAACGATTCAACACTCATGGTTCGCTGCCGCTAGATCATAATTGATTTGAAAGCCTTATTGTGAAGAAAAAAGTAAACGTGGATATGCTGGGAGAATTAATGCTAGCCGAACACAACTCTTCCGAGTGGTCTACTTATCCAGACACTCATTTAGACGATCTGGTTAGAAACTGACAACAGGAACGATGCCGAAGGACATCGTTCATCGCTCATTCAGACATAAGCGTCCTCCTCTTTAAAGATGAGAACGATATCGTCTGCATAGTCCAGATCGATAATGTTTTCGTCAGCGAGGTTTCGGAGACCTTCCAACGTTCGTCTTACTACCTAGTCGATAACGAAATTTAACAGAAGTGGAGAGGGTTGATATGCTTGACAAAAACTTCTGGATAGCTCCCCATTTAATCTCACCCTTCCGGGTCTGATAGTACAAAGAAATTATGCTCACACACTTTCGGGGCATTCTTTGTTGGGAAGGCGTGTTAAGAACGGACCGTCCAATGAAGTCGAATGCGGTTTGAAAATTCAGGGACACTAAAATTGTGGGTTTGTACGTAAGGAGTTGTCCCAGCATCTGATGGCGTGTTAAGGTTTGGTCAACAAGACCCATACAAGGCTGGGATCCCGCTTGCTGATCTCAAGCTAGCGTTCCACGGGACACCATAAGGCGGCGAATGACAAGTGATACCAGCAGTCTCGTGGTGACTTGGGTCAAGCTCTTCTCCCTGAGATCACCGCATTCACCACGGGATCCTTTTTGAAAATGAACACTTTCAATGACTCTTCCCAGCACTGTACATGGGTGGACCGTTGTGCTCCATAGATAAGGCCCCGAAAATCGAATCACGATGACTCAGGCCAAGGCCCAGAACCCCAACGCGACATAAAGGCCCCACGATATTGCAGAACACTTCGAAGTCGCACAACGAAACAGCGAATCAACTCGTACGCGGAGTGCTAAATAGTCTTTGGCCAGTATCTAGGTGAGACTGCTCTGTGGTTAGAACGCAAATTTACTGACCGGAAGGTCCGTGGTTCGAACCCAATATCTGCATCTCGACTTCTCCTATCTTGGCTTGGATAACCTCGTGCTTCCTTCGGATGGCATGGCAGCTAGGCACCGAAAAGATGTTACAGGTGAACCATTGTTATATTTATTAGTATCTGGATGACACCTTTCTATCCGAAAGCGTCCAAAACTCTTCGGAAATTTAGCACGGAGCTCAAGACATAAACCTTACTAGTTGGGACCATATTGTTATGGTGTAGGTGGGTTCTCTCGCAGCACACAGAGCATGGAAGGTGCTAGCAACCGACATGAATCGCTGACGTTGCGCAGAAGGTATAGATTTAAAACGAAGACTATTCACATCCCGTTCTGATGCCACATTTGCATCTGAATTGAACACCCCACCTGCTCCATTTCCAAACCATTTTGAACGACCTACCCACGTGGTTGAAAGAGTCATGGAAAATTAATCAAAATAAATATTTACTTTTGGGTTTCAGGAACACAGCTCACAACAGCCACCGAAAAGGAAGCATGGCGTTTGCACACTTTGTACACAGTGTAAAAACATACTACTACTGGACGCAGAGACCACGGAAAGGTCGGATGGCCAAGATACTGCAGGGACTACTGAAAACAGAGGGTAGTGATTTGTACACAGGTGTTCTGATCCGTGAGAACACCAGGTATGAGGTACCGCCGTTTGGCTCTTTAAGAAAGACGGCCGGCCACAGGTGCGGGTGCACTTTCAGTCAGTTAAATGCTGGAATGCTGAACAGCAGCTCGTCACAGTTTGCGATGGATTAAACATAGGTTTGTGTGTGTAGGTGGTGCTCGAAAAGAAACCCACAGTTATCGTCTGTCACAGAGGAAATGGCCACTGTGATGAGCGAAAAAAAAGAACCTTAGGACCTTTGAAAGACTGTGGTAGAATGGGAAGTCGTTTCTCAAAAAAATCGACTAGTGTGGGATTAGCATCTGGTGATAGGTTGCTGTGAAAAAGAAATACGCTCATCGCAAGCGGTCACAGTGATGATGATCTGCGTAGGCGTCGTCAGTGACCTTGTTCCGGTGGAGAAAAAAAAACAATTACATGTCAGGTTAACCCCGCACTCGGTGGGAGGGAGCATGGTGCAAACTTAAGAATAGAATGGAGCTAAAATCACAGAATGATACTGTGACAAATAGAAATGCAGAAAGGAGGAACGCAAATGATATGTAGAGCGTACACTGAAGTGACACAGCCACACTGGCCTACGCTTCCAAACACAAACGAAATGGGAAACAACAGCAAGAGAAAAAGAACCCAATCCGATGATTGGAAAGTTAATGGGAAGAAGCGGTACACAAGAAAAATCGCGGTCACATGTACGGGCGAGGTTTAGAACCACATCAAGCCTTTCCCCTATAACAGTAGAAACTGGCGTGACAGCTCAGCCTTAACGGTATGCTACTACTGTGGACTAGCCCTTTGTCGATTGGCGAAAGAGGAAACCGTTACAAGATGTCGGAAACGAAAAAGAAACCAAAAGAAAAGGGTGCGCGTAAGACACCCGAAAATTTGCATCATTTGGCGCATGGATAAACCAAAATTAGCTGTTTGAATAAACTTGAACTGAAAGAAAAGTAGTAAGCTCGAAATAAGTGAGCCGGACTCATGGATGGGGGAAGGGGGCGGGAAGTTTTGCAGCATAAATAAATTATTCAGTTAGAGACCTTATGTATCGATTGCGTACGTAGGCCTATTGGGAAATATCATAGATAGGTGATCTTCCGAGCATTGGGCAAGGGCAGTCGGTGCGTTGAAGAGAGTGAGCGGCTGTGAGTTCTGGATGAAAGGCAAACGAAGGAGGAATGGCTGCTCCTTGGACGGAGTGAATGGAGAATAATTAGCATCCTGGTTGCATTCTGGAACCTGAAATGGATAAAGTGGTGAGCACGGTAAATAATCCGCATGTAGTGTGGTAACGGTTACAGATGAGGTGAGCGGAATGGCGCGCATTGTAACGCGCGGAACAACACCGGTGGAATAAAATGTCCAAAAAAAAATTCTGAAAAAATGGCCGCGAATGCATGAGGCATGCCAATGATTATAGTAGGATAGGTGTCAGAGAACGATATAGGACGGTGAACGTTTAAAATATGCGGCGTTCATGAAAGAGGCTAACTCAGAAACCAGCCTCACCGAGCTTGTGCTTATAGGCAAGTCGTTACTGACGAAGAACTTCAACCATTGGCTTCTGGGTTGTAGAACCGTCCCTCCCTGTTCTTGTCCGATTCTAACGCATATATTTGCGATGAAATGTACTGATTGGATACTTTCCTCAACACCATCAGAAAACAAAATGGCGAAGGGCTTGACCTAACATTGCAAGATGAAAGAGCGACGGGGGCGAGTAGGAAAGATGGCAGCTGCGATAAGTGTTTCTGCGGCCTGTGGCAGTCACACGCAATAGATGCAATCCCGTCACACGAATTAATTAAATGGTGTGGAAGCTCATTTTGGGATGAATTTGGTAACCGTTGTCTACGCTACATTGTGCCTCAGTGGGCGTACGAAGCGGATCGGTCGGTCAGAGGTGAGACAGATCCGCTATAGAATCCGTAACCAACCGGGCAGTATGCATATGACATTTCCAAGTGCCGCGTACATCTCAATGGTATCGAGGTTATAATGCTCGTAACTACGTTTCAAACTAGCTACCAATACCGATATGGAGTATCAAATTCACTTACTACGGGGAAATCATACTCTGAAGTGCCCCGAAAGTAAAACAGCACCGGCCTCCACAACAACGCAGTAAAGGTTTCTTCTGTGTGAGTAGCTTTTTGGTGTCGTGAAAGAAACATTTCAGTTGAAGAGGAACTGGTACAATAAAAAATGTCCACCCGGGCTAATCGAAAATTGACCGTCAACACTACGACAGAAAAAAATGGCACTTCAGACATGAACTGAACTCAGAAACCATCTGATTTACCACAAGTTGCTTCTTGAAGAGGAGTTGCCTCCACGACTGACAGCGTGAAGTACATTAGTATGGTATCATGTGAATTTGGTACTGGACATCGACTGAAGAGTCTATCCCACAAGACATTCCGTTGAAGCGGCTGAGACTGCCCTTCATGTGGTGGTCTGCCTTATGGAAGCTCAGTTCCAAGACCCAGCGATGAGCATCAAGTGGTATAAGAGGGCATAACCGTGATTCGGCTATCATGCAACCACAGGTACACCATTCGCTTCGTATCCTGTCTGAGTTGTGCAGTCCAAGGATGGCTAAAACCTGGAGAGTTACGGATGATTTATAGATGTGGTTAAAGGGCTTCAAGACCAATTTCTTCACAAAAAAGTAGCAAACGATACCTCCTCAGCAGGGGAGGCCACAGCAGAATGCTTTCCAGAAGCATTTGGACGGGATTCGGGTATGTCCTGTGTAGCTGTGACATAAGTCAGCTTTGGTGCGTGCCCACAATCGACTACTACAGTCTCTCTTTGCCAGTAGCATCAATATGGTGAACCGTGAATTGCGAGTAAGGTCTGGTAAAAAAAACCTATCACTCAAGACATCAGTGATGAAACTCTCTTGCGTGAAGTTGCAGGATGGGGGCGAGATGGCCCAAGTGGTTAGAGCGCGAATTTACTGACCGGAAGGTCCGTGGTTCGAATCCGACCTCCGCCTCTCGACTTCCCCTGTCTAGGGTTGGGCAACCTGGCATCGTGCCAGCCCTCGTGCCTCCTTCGGGTGGCATGGCAGCTAGGCACCGGAAGAGTGCTACAGCTGAACGACCTATGAAGTTGCAGGATATACGGAGGACCGCAACTAGCGTCCCCGAGATCGGACTCATACGATCGATGACAACAGACACAATTTTATTCAAACACCGTTCGGCTTCAACCAACTGGTGACTGTCATCGACGGTATGTCAACATTTCAGTGAGTGGCTCATACCGAAAATGATATGCCTGTTCCTAGCACACGAGTTAAGCTGGCTTGGGTTGGTAACCAATACCTCGACGATGAAAGTAGCAAGGGTGTCTTGCTCACAGAACTACTACGCCAGTGAAGCATCGGTGTTGAACACTGATGTCATGCTGTCGATGATGAGCACAGAACTAATGATAGCAGCACTTTGACAATCCATATTTGGCAACGCTCGTTTCGGTGTGGCAGCTGCTAGCAGTGAGTTCTAGACCGGTAGGCATTCTGAATACCAGCGCATTTTCCCGGCAAGACTAGGCAAAAAAGCACCCACTCTTGAACTGTGGAACCATTTGATGGAAAACTCACAGGAATGCACATTGAACACGTCAGTGACATACGCGTACAAACACGGTGAATTCCAACAGATAAAGAGAATGACAGGCTTTTCTGAAGTATCCAACTGACAGGAGAGAAGTCACGTGTCTTTATATAGAGCAAATCGATCCAGTCGGACTGCAAACCGTCTCACAGTGATTTAGACATAAAAAGTTTCTGCGTTCCAATGCAGATGCGAACCAGATGCATCCAAACATCCACGAGAAAATGTCCCAAATAGGTTCACTTGGCTGATATGAGTGCTTCTGACTGTGAAATGCAACTACAGCAATGCACACAGGCATACACCGTGTACAGTTACAAAGTATCAACATACAGATCGAAACGAAAATGGAACACCTGGTATGCGAGCGATATCTGTCAACGCGGATACCGTTGGTATTCGAAGGCAGGTCAAACAACCGTATGATAGGAATCTTCGCGTCCTGGAGTAATAATCGTTCGGCTGTAACACTCTTTCGGTGCCTAGCTACCATGCCGCCCGAAGAAAGTACGAAGGCTGAGATATTGCTAGGCTGTTGAAGCCTACACAGGGGAGTCAAACTTTGCATCTCCAAAAGTCTGCAGTGTTCACGTGGAAAAAAACCCATTATAGTTTGTCGAAAGTACACCTACACGTGGAGTGGGAAGCGGTTGGTCCTTTGCGGAATGATCAAGCTCGCTCCACCCGTTAATGAGACTAGGAAACGGATAGAAAAATTCACTTAAGGGAAACAAACGGTTTTTCATGAATGCCTCGAAGAACCTATATTGATTTTCATTCCAGTGTACTGCAAGCCAAGTGCGTGAAAAGGAAAACTGTAACCATCTGAGATCGGTGGCTGTCTCGTAGGCCTCAAGGATCTACGTGCACATCTGATATGGACATACAGGTCCTAGGGAAATATGAACCAATTTTTGACCATGGTTCTTTTTTGTCCCCTTCGTTTGACTTTGCCATGTGTACGGCTAACATCAGACAGACCCACTGAGTGCATCGACAGATCACCCCAGGCTAAACCAATGAGTACTCATACGGATCGTCAAAAGATCCATGCAAAACTTGTCAATAGTACACTCATACTGCGAATTCGGCGTCTACCCAGAGTGTCACATGGATGGATCATCCATAAAGTTATGTTCGACTGCCGTTCATGATTATAAGCTCAATAGCGATACCAGAAAACGTGAACATGTATGCTAAATCTGGTCGTCGACCACACAGCCAAATGGATCTGTTCGCTGTGTACTTCAGTGGGATGACGAGAAAGGTGTTACAGCAACTTTGGTTCAGAAGCACGCGACGGGCCCAAGTTTGTGCTCCAGAAAGATCCACATTAAAGTGGAGATTGTTTGTCTTTGTAATGTACTACTCATAAGGTTGCTGAAAATCCGTCGACAGCCCACGACCGGTTTCGCCATTCTTGGGGCTCATCAGGTAGGCGCAGTCCCCGGGTTTCCGTCAACCTTATGTTCTACTTGAAACCAAATTGCACGGAACCAGAGAATATACACTCATTTGGAAACAAAGTTGGTCTTGCGAGAGACTCACCTGGAACCCAGCTGAATCTCTCGTTTGTGATGTTTCCAGGCAACTGAATGTGCTGCACCAGGCCGCCTCATGTTTCAGTCGCTACGATAATCGAGATATCGCGATACATATATATCGTTGCCTGAGAACATCACAAACGAGAGATTCAGCTGGGTTCCAGGTGAGTCTCTCGAAAAACCAAATTAGTTTGCAAATGTAGATTGCTCGGTTTGACAAGGTTGTAGTGGTCTCTCGGTAAACGATGGATGTATGGACGCAACGGCAACCTCCAGATGAACGAGATTCACCAAACAAATACACACAAGCTGTTCACCAATGGGGTGCACATGTTTCTACGAGGTTTGAGCATATATAAGGTTGGTTATTGTATTGTTCTGATTCACTGAAGATCTGCTACGACCTTGTCACACCAGACAAAATCACCTGTAGATTACGGACCCTAAAGCATACCAGAGCGTGACCAACATATGATTCAATCGATAGTCACAACCCAGGCTACTGTGTGCTTTTTTGCCATGCCACTTAGCTGCACTTTACGAGTTAAGGTCATATCGCAGGCGACGCAGTGCCAGGCAAGTTGCGACCACTTGTATTATCGAGCGTGAAGGCCGCAATCAGCCGATCTTCGTTGAGTGCATTAACCATGAATCTGTCAGAAGATGCGTATGTTGAGCGAGTGCTCACGAAATGAAATCTGTCAGAATGAGACACTGGGAAGTCAAGAGATTACACCCCACCTTCATCGATTCCATTCAGCAAAGGAATCGACCAAAGTGGCTAGGTATTCCAGTTCACTTCGTACCATTACGCGGTGCGTCAACGCAAAAGGACACATTTAGGCCGAAGATCATATTTGCTAGACATAAACGAAGTGATGTGCAGTAGATCGGTGCGCTGGCCTAAACAACGGATGTACGGTCAACATGCTTCATTGTATTCTTGTGTCTGAAATCAGAAAGTTGTCTGGCCTGAAAGTTTCACGGAAGACCTTTAATGAAGTGGTCAACTGATCAAATACATGTTCGAATCTCTATGGCCTTTCTCTGACGATGGTGCCAAATACCATAA